GGACGAACTAATAGATGATCACTTTCTTGCAAGTTTAATGTCTTCTTGCTTCTAGCAGTCAGTGCTGCGCATGGTTAAAGCAGATAATGATTATGATTTTTTTCGTATGAAAATTATTTTTTATTTAAAAGGGAAGGCATTTCAAAATGTTTAGTTGATATGGCACTATCTCTACTTTGAAGTTTTCTGTATTTCTTTACGCCTCCATCCCATCAGAGTGTAAGATGGAAACTCATGTGCTTGTTTTCATTCCAATTCGATAGATATGGAGGAGCTCAAACATTTTGCAAAGAATCAAGGTGCTCACGAAGCTGATGACTTAAATCATTGGGACACCAGCTTCTGGAGTGAGAGACTTCGTGAATCCAAATATGAAATAAATGAGGTGTGGATCTGTCAACTGTCTCTGCCCTTTGAACCTTTTGTTTTTGTGTATTGAGTGCATTAATGTATTTTCTTCCTTTGTTCCAATGAGAGATTCAATGAATCAAATTGTTTGTGTATCTTTTCTTCATCAAACAAAGTTGTACTTTGTCGAGTAAGGTGCTTCTGGAAATATTTCCTTGTTTATGGCCTTGACTTTCATCTTTTATTTTTCTTTTATGCATATAGTTTATATATTCTCCTTCACTTATTTATGTAGGGAGTACCGCTCAGAATCTCAGATTTAGTCGGAGTCCCTTGTTATGCATCCACTGTTTATTTTGTTCCTAGAAGTTAAAGGAAGGCTCATAGAGATGATAACTTGACATATTAACTAATTGTTAATGTGGTTTTTGACACTGAAGTGTCTAATACTTAATTGTGGTTACTGTTTGAATTTATCATTAAATGAATAATTTCTATGTTGCCATCTCCAATTGACAGGAAGAACTGAGACCTTACTTTTCATTGCCTAAAGTTATGGATGGCCTTTTCAGTCTCGCAAATAGGTTGTTCGGTGTCAACATTGAAGCAGCTGATGGTTTAGCTCCTGTAAGAAACTTCCTCGGATGTGTTAGGGTATCACATATTTTTTCATGCATGGTTTTTTCACTGAGATTTTATTCTTCAGGTTTGGATGAGTGATGTTCACTTTTACCGGGTCAAAGATTCTTTAGGCAGTCCAATTGCGTATTTCTACTTTGATCCATATTCTCGTCCCTCTGAAAAACGAGGTGGTGCATGGATGGATGAAGTAGTTGGTCGAAGTCGAGTCCTGTCACAAGATGGTTCCTCCCCTAGGTTGCCTATTGCTCACATGGTATGCAACCAAATGCCACCCGTTGGGGACAAGCCAAGTCTTATGACTTTTCGAGAGGTAAGCAGACTTGTTTTGCGCTGGTGAAAGAAATGGTGTCGGTTTCTTTACTATTATACTCTGCATGTACTATAAAGCCTCTTCCTAATTTTGGTGTTTGTAACTCCTATTGAACCTTCTCAAATTGGATTCACTTTCAGTTTGATTAAAGATAGTAAAACTATTGTCGTCATTGCGAGAAATCCAAGTATTGGCTATTCTTTCCACTCTTTTTCCTGGATTTAAGTTCCGTTTTGTATTTAATCTGTTATTCTGTTCAATTGGAGTTGAAGATTTCATTTTCACTTCCATTTTTATATCAAGTACATGTCAATATATCGTGCATAAGGTTATGATATATATGAGTGGTCTTCCTAAGTTAGTCTGCATGCGCATGTAGGTTGAGACCGTCTTCCATGAATTTGGCCATGCTCTTCAGCATATGCTGACGAAGCAGGACGAGGGATTGGTTGCTGGTATAAGGAATGTTGAGTGGGATGCTGTGGAACTACCATCCCAGTTCATGGAGAATTGGTGTTATCATAGGTATGGATTTTGGTGAACTGATTTTCGTTTACATAATATTCATTATTTATTTACAGGTCCTTGTCAGAATAGGTGTCTTCAGAGTTGGTGCTGTATGTCATATTTTTAGGTTATGTGGGGTTTACATTAATAGAAAATTGGGTTCTCAGTTGAGATTGAACCCTTTGGGGCGTGATTGTATATGAATTGTACAGTAAATATTTCAATCAAAATTCAAATTTAACTCTACTTTAACTCAACTCCACTATCTCCAATATTATCAATATAATTAAATAATATCAACCAATCATTATTACACATCACATCAACTTTAATTCACTATTCATCCACTCACATAATTTTAACTAACCATCACTTCCAATCATTTTCTCCTACTTTTACATCAAATCAATTTTAATTAATTTAATTTAAATATTATTTTAATATATTCACTAACAACTAATCATACTACTTTTTTCTAAACTTAACTATAGTTAATAAATAACCAATTTTTTACTAGTTGAATTCATATCCAATCACCCCCTTACTGATTTTGAATATTGAAATATAACATCAATCTTCTGTAATCATTAAGTGGAAGTTGTCATGTATTGTAGATTGGGTAATCGTGAAGATTTATTTTTAGAAGCCTTCTTGTCTATTATAAAAAACACTGCAAAGAAATATCAATTTGTACTAAATGCAGTTACCTTCCCATTGCAATAGCACATTATCTTTGTTGCCAAATCTTCGTTCTTTTGCGGACATTGTGATACAAGTGTATTTATTAATTGCAGAGATACGCTTATGAGTATTGGTAAACATTATGAAACTGGAGAAAGTATTCCAGAGGACATATATGAAAAGCTTCTTGCTGCTAGAACATTTCGTGCTGGCTCTTTTAGCCTTCGACAGGTTTGTGCAACCTTTTGCATTTTCTGATTATTATCCTTTTGCATCCTGTCTTTGGTTAATGGAAGTTTTTTTTTTTTTTTTTTATTTCTTTTTCTTTTTCTCTTTATATCCTGTTTTAAGCAACACGCTTCTCTTACATCATTGTAGTTAGTTTGTGCTGATGTGTAACTGTCTATACACATAAAAGTTATAGTTGCACCACCTTGCTGCTCACTAAAAAACTAATTATGATTAGCTCTCGTTTTTTGCAGCTTAGGTTTGCCACTCTTGATTTAGAGTTGCACACAAAGTATGTCCCTGGTGGCCCAGAGTCCATCTATGACGTTGATCGTAGGGTTGCAGAAAGAACACAATTACTTCCTCCACTTCCAGATGACAAGTTCCTTTGCAGTTTCAGTCATATATTTGCTGGTGGATATGCTGCTGGATACTACAGCTACAAGGTAACAGCGTGTTGTTTTTTATTAATTTATTTATTTTGGCTTGACATTTTTATGGTGTATTTGGTTACGAATTATTCGTCTACAGACAATTTTCTTTTCATTTATTTATTTATATTGGCTTGAAATTTTTATGGTGTATTTGGTTACGTATTTTGGGTCTACAAGTAATTTGTATGCTTAGCTTTCAATTTTCCTTTTGAAAAATCTGGATTGAAACTATGAATTGGTTTTCAGCTCTTTCTAATGCTGGTTGATTTTCATGTCTGCAGTGGGCTGAGGTTTTGTCGGCAGATGCATTTTCAGCATTTGAAGATGTCGGATTGAATGATGACAAGGTTGGTTTACTTACTTTTTTTGCATATTCATATCTTTATGCATGATTAAGGCTTTGGCGATTTTAGTCTTGTAACTTGCTGTAGTGTTGACGAACAATTTGTCCTTGTCATAGTAGAAATTTAAATGTTGTAATTTTTCCAAGGACCTAGGTGAGACGAATCATTTCAGGGCCAGAGTTGCTACAACTTGAAACTTATAGGGACCAAAATGACATCAAATTAATAGTTAGGGGACCAATTTTGGGAAAATCCATAACTTACCAGACACAAAATGTTATGCGACCTATTTTTGCAATTAAACCTGATTAAAACTGTTTCTGGTTAGTTTCGTATATCATGACACCTATTTGTGGTTGTTGCTGCAGGCTGTTGAGGAAACGGGCCATAGATTCCGAGAAACTGTACTTGCTCTTGGAGGTGGAAAAGCACCATTAGAGGTTGGAAGTGAATAAAATAGCTACCCTTGTATTTTTGAAACATTATTCCTTTTTAATAATATTCATCTCTTAATTTTGGTGAAATTGGTGAATCAGGTTTTTGTGCAGTTCCGTGGGCGTGAACCTTCACCTGAGGCGCTGCTAAGGCACAATGGCTTATTGCAGGTTGCATGACTTTTTTTTTTTTTCTTTTAAATTTCTTCTACTACCTGCCTTTTCAGTGGATTTTATGAAGTACCATCTATAGAACACTTTGTTAGACTTCTTGTTCATCAACATGAAAAATATGTTACAATTGGATGTTTCATCATTTATGGTTGAAAGGCATTACAGTTTTCAGCCAAGCTTTCAACATAGAGGTGTTATTCGAGTTGAGCTAAGAACTTCATGTTCGAGGTTGTGCATGTTTAATAAACGATCCTGCTACTTGTCTTCGTTTAATAATCGTGCTCAGTTATATGTTCGAGCTTAGCTAATTGAGATTTTATGTGAGCTCGAGCTGGGTTTGTTTTGTTAAAAGAAATTGAACCCATATAAGTAACCTAAACTCTTCATTTAATCAATGATGTAAGAGAAGTATGTCACTTAAAACATTAATATTAATGTTTATTTGTATAATCTATACATATATTTCACACGTAAGAAATAGGAGTAAAACGGGTGCGGTTCCACGCACGTGAAGCGCACCATAAGTAGGAAAAGCCTAGATGAACCCCAAGTGGGGTTCCATCTCAAAATCAATTGGTGGAGGAGGAGTAGCCTATTGGATTTATAAGGTGGGTTTATTTTTCATGTATAAACGATGTGGGACAACTCACAAATGATATTCTAACGACACGTTATAAAATAGTTGTAATTATAAAGTTTGAAACATGAAAAGGTAACATATTCAAACATTATCAATAATAATACTCACAAAATCTCTCTCTCTTATACTTTATTACAATATAGTATATGATTACTAAATAAATGATGACAAAGTTGAAAAATTATAACAAATATTATAAACTAACACTTAATTTAAAAAGAAAATAATATATAATATTTTAAAGTTATAAAATTGACTAGTTAGTAATTAAAAAAAAATTATATTATTTATTTTTATATTATGATAATATTATATTATTCTGAACTTATAATAGATCGCCACTAGTTGACTTATAATTACAATTTATAGCAATTCACATTATAAATATTTTTATTTTTTTCTAAGCTAACAATTTATATTGTTGTTGGACAGATGACTTTTTGGTTTATCATTGCAATTCATAACAATACATATTATAATATTTTATTTATTTATTTTTAAGTTAATAATTTATATGGATAGTTTAAGATTTTTTTTTTTAATCATAATTTGTAACAATATATATTGCATTTTTTTTTTTTTACTAAACTAATGCTGGTGTTTAGTTTGCTTTTGTATTTTCCTTTCCTTTGCTGTTGAGTTTGGTATTGCTGTTTGCTTATTGAGGTGTTAGTCTATAGGTTAATGGAGTCTCTATTAGGGACTTGTCCAGTTGCAGGTATTCCTTTTGCTTTGTGTAGTTTTTGTTCTTCTGCTCAACTGAAGGAAGAGTCTAATGCCGGATCTTAGCTTAGTCTTGTCGGTGTGATGGCCTCTCCTTCAGTCTTTCTTAGTTATCTAGGTCGCTATTGTTAGCGCTCCTACTCTGATTTCTTGGCAACTTTCTAGTTTGTATTGAATTTCTTTATTTTTGATTATAATATTTT